CTGTGTGTGGGTTTTAATGAAGATCATTAGCATCAATTCTTGAAAGAAATGTGGATCTAATCTTCCACTAATTAATTCATGATTTTATCATTTTATTTCCTTATACTTTCACTACCATCTGCAGAATACTTATTTATTTTTAGAAGAATAAAGTTGATAAATAAAAAGTAAAAAAAACAAAAACAAATAAAAAGGTTGCAATATCTTACAGTGTGCAGGTATGTTCTTGCCATTTTGGGGACATTTTACCACATCATTCTCTTGCAATGCAAATATGCACAATATGCTACTGATACATGCACAATAGTAAGCTATGCACAACAATATTGTATTATCGGTTTTTTCTTCAGCTAATATTATTCCTAAAACTAACTTTCAAATAAAAAAAAAGTGTGCATACATGTATGTTTGGGACAGAAAAATTAAAAAGAAAATACCACCCATAGTCAGCTCAATATAAAGATGCCATGTTTTCTAATTGGTTGAAGACAGCATGTTGTGGTATATTTTGTCCTAATATTATTAATATTATTATATTATTATAATTCTGTAAACAAAGGTATAGGCTCCCCAGCTTTATCACGCACCTCTCTGTTAATCTTTTGTGTGCTTCTACTTCCCTCTGTCCTGTCTAAGTGCTGGAATTCTGAAATCTATCATTGTATCTATTGTATCTTTTGTTTTCTGTGCTGTTGCCAATTTTGTATTTTCAAAAAGTCGATAGTTTATTCCAATTCACATACATCAAATAAGCATGACTCAACCCTTAGGCGACAGACATCTTGAATCACACAAAAGACACAAATTCTCCCTAATTGCGTGCGCTGGTCCTGGGACAGAGCTGCAGTGGTCAGCTCTGGTCAGAGCTGGGGTGGTCACTCTCCAGAGGCCAGGGACAAAGCCTGCACAAAGGGCCCGGGTCGCGCTGCCTTGGCCTGGGAGCAGAGGGGAGCGGGGTCATGGGTGCAGGCGCCCTCTTTTACCACAGAGATTAATGGACAGAGGTGCGAGCGGAGGAGGGAGAGGGGGGAGGCTGTGGGAACACCGCTGTCAAAGGACATGTCCCACAAAGAGATGGACAAATGTTCACACCGCACTTGAATGAGAGTGAATATAAACGCTTAAATACATAGATAGAGATAAAGAGATACTTTTATGATCCCCCATAGGAGAAATTCAGGCGTCCAGCAGCAGAAAACACATCATCCATACAAACACAAATAAATACATACTTCTAAAAGTTAATAACAATAGTAAAACATTGCAAATGTTTACTATACTTAATGGACAATAAGCCGCACTGGATTGTAAAACAGAGAAAAATAATAAACAAATCAAGCCACACTTTAGTATATACCGCTCCTTGGCATAAGCCGCACCTTAGTATAGGTCGGACCTTAGTATAGGCCGCACCTTAGTATAGGCCGCACCTTAGTATAGGCCGCACCTTAGTATAGGCCGCACCTTAGTATAGGTCGGACCTTAGTATAGGCCGCACCTTAGTATAGCCCGCACCTTAGTATAGGCTGCACCTTAGTATAGGCCGCACCTTAGTATAGGTCGCACCTTAGTATAGGTCGCACCTTAGTATAGGTCGCACCTTAGTATAGGCCGCACCTTAGTATAGGTCGCACCTTAGTATAAGCCACACGTTAGTATAGGCCGCACCTTAGTATAGGTCGCACCTTAGTATAGGTCGCACCTTAGTATAGGTCGCACCTTAGTATAAGCCACACCTTAGTATAGGCCGCACCTTAGTATAGGTCGCACCTTAGTATAAGCCGCACCTTAGCATAAGCCACACCTTAGTATACTGTAGGTCCCACCTTAGTATAGGTCGCACCTTAGTATAGGCCGCACCGCAGTATAGGTTGCATCTTAGTATTTGCCGCACCTTAGCATAAGCCACACCTTAGCATAAGCCGCACCTTGGTATAAACCGCACCTTAGTATGACCCGCAGCGTGTGGGAAAAAAGTTCCAGCTTACGGTCCAATTTTTTTGCATATTTATGGTAGATTCACCATTTTCAAATTCACCATCAAAACAGATTAAATTTACAAACAAAGACAAAAAAATTAAGTAAGCAGACAGGAGAGACAGAGAGCTGACTGGTAGCAAAAAGAAAAGATCGGAGAAATGTACATCATAACACCAAGCATATGCCTCTGAAATGTGAAAGTGTCCCAGATGTACCAGGGACACTCATGGACACCCAGGAGAGTACCAGAAGGACGCAAACCCAAAATAAAGGAATGCATAAAAAAGTTACAAAAGTATAATATTTACAAACACACATTAGACAGTGCAGAATATTGATACGTGACCCAAGGTATGATATTACATGTATATATACTAATACTGCCTTTGCCACATACAGTACTAGTAGCAGAATGCTAACTTGCACCTCCGCAGCTTAGTGCCCATACATTTTGACCGTGGAACTCATCCTCTCTTTGTCCCATTTGAAGAAGTGTCTGCTCCCTCCCGAGAGGCTCCCGTCCCGTTGATAGCTGTCATCACTCCCCCCGGCGAGCCTCTAATGCCTTCTCTCCATCGTTTATGCAGCAGCAACAGTCATCATCCAGCGGGAACTGACTCCCAACTTGGTACAAGGATGTGAAGTGACGAGCCGGTCCCGGGACAGCATGTGTGTGTGTGTGTGTGTGTGTGTGTGCATTTGCGTCCCATTCCGCTGACTTATCGCCTTGTCGTTCACGATACACTCGAGCTAATGCTTTGCTAGATTCTCGTGTTTCGGCTAAAAATAAAGCAGTCCGTCCAGGAAAGTTTGGCGGAAAGTTGCGCAGTTTTTAAGTATTAAAATCTGCGGGGGGAATGTATCGCCTGCAGCACGTAGAGATTGCAATGTTGAGGTAATCGAGGAAAGGTTTGTCGAAAGCCTGAGTGTTGATTTTTGAGGTAATCTTCTTCTCGTGTTTCTCGACGTTGAACTAAGACTTTATAATAAAAGTTTTGTGAAAAATTAGTAGTGCATAATACTTATGTAGCACCTAAATATACATCAGAAGGCATTAGTAATTCACTCCATACCTACACTGAATATAAATGGACATTGCTAACTCCCTAGCTCAATGCAGTACCAATAGAGAAGTGCTCGTGGACAAAGATTTGCTCCTATTTACTATCATTGAAAAGTAAACTCCTCTCCTCAGTTACCATAAAACTTGCGGACTGATCCTATTACAATAAATGGTTCAAAGTGAATGTAATTTACTTTTCAAATTGTGAAGTGTGTGAAGCGTTTTGAAGACAAGCACTGGTTAGACCCGCCCATCATCACCCCTCTAGCCTCCTGATTGGTCAAAAAAAATGTCACATCCTTGAAGCCCCTCATCATTGGTTTAACTATTCTCCTGCAGCAAATCTTACTGGTAATAGTAATTCCAATGAGAGAAACTATTTTGAATACATTATTAGTGGAAAATGATTGTCCCATGGTCAGAAATTATTTTAAGAATAAAATGCATTTTAAGTTGACATCACCTTTAACAGTGATTTAGTGCTATTCACAGATGAAGGACTTTATAATAATGATACAGTAAACTACAGGGCAACATTCTTCAATCTTTAGGAGGAAAAAAGTTGAGAAAAAAGCCATTTATTTACCCGTTTTATCCACTATGTGTCTATATACTGTATTGTGGTATAATACATGAATCATTTAATTTACCATTATCCATTATTATTATCATTGCATATTTTTTCCTAATGTTTTAAGTTATTTAGCCTATGCAAAAACACTTTTTAAACCTCTGCTTAGAATCCACTCACAGTTATCTGCCAGCCTTCTCCTGCAGCAGTTGTAACAGTAATCCAGTGGCACATGTGCATCCATCACGGCCTGTGACAGCGGCGATGGGCCTGACGACACTCGGAGCGTGGACCGGGACTTGACCTCCGTGCTCCTGATGACCCGGCCTCCGCTGGGGGTCCTGCTCGTGCCACTCAGCGCCTCCGCAGGGGGCCGAGCGTCACTCACCCTCACACTTTCAACTCACATTCTGCGAGCACAAACTACAGCCGTGAAGTCATCGGCCGTGTTATTGTTCGGAGAGATTTGCGTATTTTGCTTTTATTGGAAACAGCACTAAAATACAAGGACTTTCAAATGTGCCATTATGTGTCCTTGATAATTAAGGACAGTGAGAAGGTTAGAATAACAGCACAAAACAAAATCTGTGACCGTAAAAGTAATATTTGGCAGAGAGGGGACCGCCATGCAATTTTCAGACCTTGGTTTCTTTTCTTTTTTTACATTTTCTTTTTAATTTAATGGGGGGAAAAAAATCAAGAACATGTTGTTTAACAGGAGGATGACGGAGAAAATAAGAAAGATAAAGATAATGCTAATAATAAAGTACAACAATATTTTTATTATTATTTATGATTAAAACGCAGGGTGCTCTACAGACACAGAAATAACATTGGGGAAGTTTATTATCATGCAAACAGAAAATGTATCTATCTCTGGCAACCCACTCTCTCAGAAAAATGTTAAAAAAGAACTTCTATATCATGTATCAGAATGTTCCAAAGAGTCGCCAGCACCGTTGGAAGTTTTCGGTGCATGCCAAGCCACCTGACAATGACCACACACACACATACACACACACACACACATGCACCATGGCCCTTCCTGTGGCTCTCATGGTCAAACTAAAGATAAACTCTCTCACACACACACACACACACACAGAGACAGACAGACACACACACACGTGCACCATGGCTCTTCCTGTGGATCTCATGGTCAAAAGAATAATAATTATGATGATAATAATAATAATAAGTATACATCAAACTGTTAAAGCGTCTATTTGAACACTATGAAGAAGCTTGACAAACTATAGACATGTAGACTCACACACATACACACACACACACATACTGAGGAGACTATGACAGAGCACTCTTTTACCTTAAATAAAACTATATTTCCATTTGTAACTTCAGTACTGCAGACCAACACATGTTTAAATGCTACAGTTCTCTCTGTCTTCAGGATGTCCAGCCCTGGGTCCAGAACAGCCCTGGGTCCAGAACAGCCTTGGGTCCAGAACAGCCCTGGGTCCAGAACAGCTCTGGGTCCAGAACAGCCCTGTGTCCAGAACAGCCCTGTGTCCAGAACAGCTCTGGGTCCAGAACAGCCCTGGGTCCAGAACAGCCTTGGGTCCAGAACAGCCCTGGGTCCAGAACAGCTCTGGGTCCAGAACAGCCCTGTGTCCAGAACAGCCCTGTGTCCAGAACAGCTCTGGGTCCAGAACAGCTCTGGGTCCAGAACAGCCCTGGGTCCAGAACAGCCTTGGGTCCAGAACAGCCCTGGGTCCAGAACAGCCTTGGGTCCAGAACAGCCCTGGGTCCAGAACAGCCTTGGGTCCAGAACAGCCCTGGGTCCAGAACAGCCCTGGTCAGCAGCTGCTCTGTTGTTTTAAGTCGCTCCAACAGCACAGTTCTTACTCAGACACTTCACTTCTCTCATCGTGCAAGTAATATGCACCCCAAAAACCATTACGGTACTTCGACTATTGCAACAGGGAAATATCTCTCAGAAACAAGCCATAACTGGTATTTTGCCTAAAAAGAAAACCATATATTAGTATGTGCTTCTTTCTCTTCAGTTTCAGTTTAGCAATTTAATAAATCGCATGAAAAAAGTAGCTATATAAAATGTTCATGTCAAGTCATGAGCAAACCATGCTCTAATACTTCTTTAACCGAAAACAGTAGTTCAGCAAGATATTTGAATTTAAAAATGTGTTTTGCAACCCCTTGTTATTGTTTTCATTTTGATTTCCTGCCCTCCACTGTTTCACCAATCAGAAAGTCCGTGATCCAGGTTGCCAGAACTCACTACGTCGAGCTAATCTCACTGTTAAAGTACCATGTGGCCGCGGAACCAAAAAAGGTCTTTTTATGATTGATGATGATGATGATGATCAAATCATTAAAGTGATTGTCTGGAGTTTGTCAGAAAGAGAGACAGAGAGGTACTTGATTTGAAAAAAACGACGCAAGCTCCTCCCCCTTCCTTTCTGATTGGTCTACACCTACGTTTCCGTAACACTTTGAAATGTTAATCAGAGAACATATTATACATATACATTATTAATACACAGGCACGGAGGTTTTCAGAATTATTTGTGAACGTTTTAATGAAAAAAAAAATGTTTTTATGCACACAAAAAAGCGATCGCGGCAAACCAGGAAGTGCTATTATCATGAATTGCACATTATAGGACACATCTGCAGAGGATCTGATTATGGATATAGGTTCAGTATATACATAAGTACCTCAGCGTGGATGTTCAGAATACTTTGTTCAGTTTTCATGTAGTTTCAGAGCCTAATAGAAAACAAACAACTGAGCATGCGCGCAGCTGCGAGCATCAGCGCCGATGATTGACAGCCCTTGGCATGACTCGATTGGTTAACCTCGACGGCACCGTGGATTCTGAACTATAGCTAAGAGCAGGGAAGGCGGGACTTACCCGTAATATTAGAATTAATAAAATGACTTATTTTATATCAACATTTAAGGCCAGGAGGTCAATTTAACACATTTCCTAAAATTTGTAATTCATTTAGAGTTACAGACTATCACTTTAATGACAAAACAAGGACTAAAACAGTGATTTCTATATTTGTGAAAAAGATTATGGTTATACATTTGTTGTTGACAAAACTCTTTATTCAGTTCAGTTATAATGGTCCAAGGTGGATTTGTCTCCGGATCTGGCCACCTGAGTCAGGGAGAGTGTAGAACCACTTTCCGCCATATTTGTACACACTGGTCCTTTAAACATCATTTTTAAAAAGCCAGAATTAGCCAAAGAGGTTGTTTTTCATACGTACTTCCCTGGCCGTGATGTTAAAAAGCCATTCAAATCCATTAAAATACATTAACATGACAAAAATACAAGACAAAGACAACATAAATCAAGAGAATACACTTTTTAAGGCTATTCACAAGACTAATCCTTCTCTCACTTCCTTTTCATGCAGAGTTAACATATAATTGTAGCCTTATTGTTTTCATATACACACACATATCTCAAGTTTTGAACACGAAATCAATGCACGTATAATAACAAGTCTAAGTGTATCCCAAAAAAAACACAGTTGTGATTCTTACAGTCTTCCTCAAAGCAGCACATGGTTTGTTGGTATGAGAGGATCCTTAATCAAGCAAACATGTTGACAGCTCGGTGTCTTTGGTGACATCAGCTGTTGTCGCTGCCTCACACTCGTGTTACAGTCTGTTGTTTTGGGAGCTTTAGGTGTTTGCCCAAGATAACTGCTGCCACTTCCAGGAACCACTGCTGTTTACTGCTGCTGTAGATTATAGTCCATGAAAACAGTATTCTGCGATCAATATGTGGCTCACTCAGTTTCCACCCCTTTATTAATCCAAGTCTGGGTCGGGGGCCATACAAAATACATGTGTTATTTTCTTTCCAAATCCATCATTTATCACATATCACTATTTCTTGGACCACAATAAGGTTTCATTTACATCCATCCATTTTTTTCTTTTTGTTGTAGTTACCTCCCGTACCCTAGTTGTGCTGGGTCGTAACACTTCGGAAAAAAACCTGCCCTGAATCCCTACAGACAGACTCACAGACTATATCCCAAACAGACGCCACCTCATTTGGGATCAACATAGAAGAGCAGCGGCTGTACTTCGAGCTCATCAAAGAGCATCTTGTCATCTCGAATAGATCGCTGTGCCACCAAGAGGAGTTATCAAAACAAAAACTAAGATGGCCTTGAGTCAGAACTAAACATGTGAAGGCAGCATTTCAGATTTGTGCAGCAAAAATCTGCAACAGTCTTCCTGAAAATGCGAGACAGGCATCTACTCTGACCATGTTCAAATCTACTAGGTTAAAAACAGTTCTGTTTAGCTGCTTATCTAAGATAGAAACTGTCAGATCCCCCTATCAGGGCATGTTTAAATCCCCCCCCCCCCAAAAAAAACAGCACTTATCAATCGTTGTGGATTGCTTTTATTTAATTTGTATTTTTTTTATAGTTTTTGGGGGGGAGGTTTCTTCGGCCATAAGCAGAAAATAAGAATGTGTGGGACAGTTGCATCAATCAATTCAAATCAATTTGTATCTTTTATCTTGGAATGAATGAAATACAAACGATCCTTGTGTCATTTGAGAAGCGTTCCAAGCAGCAGCAGTTATATATTGATCAGATGTTTATCTACCAAGCTGTTGGAGTCTTTGGTCTTTGACACACACAGGAACAAGGAGACTTTCCCTGTGGAGTTCTTGTCTCAGAACAAGGCTGAATAGTATTTTCAGAAAAACATTATGAACGGTGTATAAAACACCTGATCCTGTTATTTGTCCCACAGTGGGGAAATTTCAGTGTTGCATCACCAGTTACAGAACAGAAGAATGAGGAGCACACAACAATAGACAAATGAACAATAACGCTATACTAAACGCACAAAAACTCTTACTTTAGCATAATAAAGAAGTAAAAAATCTCTAGAGTGTAAAATACTGTGTATTCAGTGCAAGTTATATAGGTGTATGTATACATCTATGCATTTTAGCATCTGTACATGTTAGCATCTGTGCATGTTAGTAGCATGAGGGTATGGGACAAAGTGACTAGGTAGAGCATCAGTGACACATGTGGTTCAGTAGTGCACATTCTGACATTAGTTCAAGATATTGCACCAATGTCATGCATCGGTGCAATATCTTAAAACTAGTTTGCATGATTAACACGGACGCATTCTCTCCACACAAAGCCAAATCTCTCATTAACACAAAACTTCTTCTGCTCCATCACACAGGCCTGTTCCGCCCATTCATTTCAAACAGCTATGTAACAGCAGGCCACAAATGGACTTTGACAATCATCTCTCAATCCTTTCATATTTGGCTTGAAAAGGGCACTCTGCTGGTAAACAAAGGCCTGTGATAAGGACCTGTGCCGTTCACCGGGGCCCTGCTCAGTGTGCGGTCGCTTTAATGGAAGCAGAGCAGATGGAGGTGGAGACACATGGGCAGGACCGGTGCTGCTGTCGGGTCCCGATGCCCTGGCACCGAGCCGGGCCTTTGACAGATCTGCAATAAGGCTTTATTAGGAAAGAGGCGGTCATATTTGCTCATATTGTTATTTTCGTTAAATGTCAACATTGTGGAGAGGAAAGGGGTCTAAATGACATAATTGGAATGGCATCAAAACGACCAATGGGTTAAGGTTAATTTCAATCTGGTTATGTAAATTGTAGGCACAGTTTCTGTTGGTGTAAATTAGTTATTTTCTGTTCACTGAGTCAGTTATTGGAGTAGTTGGTGAGAATGCTTATGTCGCTATCACAGACTGTAGGAATGGACTAACCCTACGCTACAGTTTCAGCTCTACAGCCTACAGAGTCCTGGTTCTGCATCTTGTTAATCCATGGGAGCGGATCCCTTTGTCAATACGGGTTCCCTGAGCTTTCTCACTTTTTCCCACTGTTTTTTTTTTCTATGATCCGGTACAAAAACAACTTTGTGAAGTCCTCCAAGACAACTTCTATGGTGATTAGGGGCTACACAAAAAATATATACAACTGACTTGAACTAACCGAGGGATGACGTCAACCATAGTGTTTGCCGTATCGTGGTAGAAGTCATTTAAAGCTAAACTAAAACAGGGGCCAATGGGCAGGAGTCTGGCTAGCAACCACCTAGCAACCAAAGTACTAATCAGGAGTGGCACTGGTCTGTTCCTGCTCACGCTAGCTGAAGCCAATTTTAGGGACAGAAGGCGCATTATTGTTAAGTTTTAGGGGACATTTGCCAAAAGAATATCCAAATATTTACTCCAACATGTTTTTATCCATCAAATTCTCATTCCATGCTGTGTAGACCCTGTGTAGACCGAGGCTATACCCTCTCCAATTATACTATTAGTAATAAAACCTTTATATTGAATAAGACATTGAGAGCAACATAAATCATTCTAAAATTCAGGCCAAACTTGTGCTCTTTTCTTTTGGCCTGAACATATGCCGAGCCAAACCAGAGCCAATAAGATACTTTGGCCAACCTACTTCTGTAAAAACGCTGGACAGTAAAAGTTCTGAGTAAAACTGCAGGAATGTCTTTGAAAGTGTTGGACGAGAAAGAAACTCGGAGTCGGAGGGTATAAAGTCCTTCGTAGGCCAGACTCTGCACCTGTCCCATCACAGTCAACACACACACACACACACACACACACACACACACACACACTGATTGAGTGACAGCCATGTGTGGGACAACAGAGGGGCCACAGCTCCAGAGGGACAGGGCCAGGCTGGACTTCACCTGGGTCTGTCTTGGACCGGACTCTGGAGCAGCAGGGATCAACGGAGTATTTGTGTAGCTGCTCTCAGTGATGTTTGTGGAGTCGGTCGGCTCTGCTTGTGTCTGGAAGATGCGAAAGACAAAACAATTGCCGGTAGCTTTGGTCAAACAACATCTGAACGGACCAGC